CCTAAATTAGTACAAATTTATATGTGAAATAACCCTTTAAAAAATCCGAAATTAATGATCATCATATATGACCCTAACTAAGTTTTGATCAATTAGTTTATTGAACACCCTACCGGTACGTAGATACCAATCATCTCCACGTTTTTAGCCCCAAAAATTGCTTGCGCAGTTCTGCATTTATGTCGGCAATACAAATACATACATCGAATGTCCGAAGCTTATTAATACTTATACTCGTCGGGCGTACAAGATCATGATTTCAAAGGAGCCCCTAAAAAGTGAGCGAAGAAATAAAAGGATAGAGAGGCCGTGTGCTGAAAAGTATAAGATTTTTCAAAGATTATCAAACAAAACGATTTAGTCTTCTTTTGATACTATGTACTCTTAGATTAATAATTTGTCGAGAAATGGCAATTTTGCCTGCAAAACGGTGTAAGGGATAATGATAATGTTAAGTTTGGTTCGTTTTCCTATCGCTATTGCATAATCACCATATCAGTATGCGTTTAATGTTCCATATTTATACAGTAAATCTATATAAAAATACAAGTAGAAAACAATACAGATTTTTTGTATGTATTCGCAAATTATTAATTTTAAATTGTTTATCGAAAACAACAATCATTATGTTCCGAAAAATAAATACGTGTTGGTTTTTCTTTTAGACTTAAAATGGTCTTCATTTATCCTAGTATGCATGTTGATCACTTCTTAGTAATAAAATTTAAACCCTAAGCAGGCCAAAATTATCTTTTCAAGTTTATTTGCAAACATTCTTTTTGCTGCAAAAAGATGCAAAGTCTCAGAGTTAAAGGTGTAAGTCTACTGTATGTAATTAACGTTATTAACAAAATTAATATCAAATTAATATTGTAGATTACGCATAATTTAAAATCTAACTATATGTATCATGCTATTTTATAAAATACATTAAAAATATATTATAATATTACTATATAGGACTTATATATTAGACTTAATATTACATAATTTATATTGCAACATTACAATATTATTATATATCATATTGTGATTTTAGGGAGCTGAGAAATATTAGGTAATTATAGCCACCCAGTGAATACTCATCTAACAATACGATTTAAATTTAATACAAATTAATATGACATATCAATTTGACTCGTTAAATGCATTGTCTAATGAGCATTCCCTAGATGGCTATAATTACCAAATATTTATTTGTCAGATCCCTTACGATTTTTGGAACTCGTGTAACCTTTCTTTTTTATGAAAGATGAACAAGTACACTAAATAAACTTTATCAGATAAGCATGAATAATAAATTACATTATATTATACCCTTATACGCACGTACGTACAGTACGTGAGAAGACAGAGTTGGGGGATAAAAAATGTAGGTGCCGAATAACCTATAATGGAAACAGGTCTTCACTTTTTTTTTGTTCTCAATTAAAACAAATACGAATGATTATTCCTACACATGCAGTGTATGATATAAGATCAAGCCAATTATCTAGATTCAATAATAAAAACACGATTTTGCAACCTGATGCAAATTTATGCATTTATTCACTAGATATTTATCATTTAGTGTTTTTTTGTTGGCTCAATGAAATGATAATCATCGTTAAAGATAAGAGTGAAAGAGCTTAAATGTATAAGGGCAATAAGATGAGCTGGCATCATACGATTTCAATAGGTCATTTGTGCCGTTTATCTACTGAACAAAATGTGATGAGATATTGGAAATATAGTGCATACTGATACTGTACAAGATATGAAATAGTAAAAATACAAAAGAAATCGTGAACTCAAAAGTAGAGTAGCGAAATCATGAACACCAGAAATGGAGTAGAGAGATAAATTCGTGAATACTTGGGAAATAAGAATACCAGAAATAGAATACAGTAAAACATTTCTAAATGCATTTTCAAACTCTGGCCCAAATATACGCTTGACCTTCATAAATGCGCTGTTTTTTATCGTTCTCTAAATGCATGCATTAAAATTTGGTCTCAAAAGATGTGCATCTAGCTGTGTTGAAATTACAATTGCGAGAAATGAAGGAATAAAATCCTGAAATAAGATAAGTACCACGAAATATCATCCTTCATACTAATGAAGTTAAAATCCTGACCTGCAATCTTTTGCAGGAAAATCACTAAAATTTTGAGTAGGGTGAATTCTTTTTAGTAGGAAGTGTACATCTCAGATTTAATTGCTTAAAAAAAATGAAGTAAACGATTAAAATAATTTGAAAACCTACAGATAAATTTTTACAAGACATTAAAGAATTACCGTATACTTCCGAAATTAAGCACCCCCTCGGAGCAATTTTTATAGCCAAAATTCTCGTGATCTAATAATAGGATCTGTGTAATTTTGAATCGGTTTGGCAATATGGTACCAAAATTACGTAGATCCGATTATTAGATCACGAGAGTTTGGCTATAAAAATTGCTCGAGGGGGTGCTTAATTTCGGAAGTATATGGTAATATAGTAAATCATATAGGATCTTTGCTAGGAAAATCACCCTTCTGGATTTTCTGATCGGGCTAATTCGGAAAAGCTTAGACCAGAATGCCGCTTTTTATTCATATGTAAATCACGGTGGTTTATTAAATAGACTGTCGGATCAGTAAAGTAAAAAAATTAGTTACATATGAATAAGAACCGGCATTCTGATCTAAACTTTTCCGATTAGCACGATCGAAGTGATTTTCCTAGCAAAGATCCCATATCATGATGTTTATCATAAACGATAATGTTACTAGTCATACATAACTTTAATAGTACATACTGTATCATACTTTATGTTCTGGTTTGCGTAAAAATGTATTTTATTGTAATAAATTTCAATATAAAAGCCATGGGATTCAGCAGACAGTATTAAAATACTCTACGAAAGGTTCACTGCTAAAACACAAATAAACTGTTACTAAGGAAGACAAATTTTAATTTATTTTCAAAGCATTAATTCATTAATAGATTTCAAATGCAAAATAATTAGATAAGTTTGTCATCTCAATATCATCTAGTTTATCATTCATATTACTATGTAAAGAGATTAAGGATTCTAGATTCGCACTTTATTGAAGCTGATAATCAAGGGAATGCTTACTAGTTTATGCTATAATTTCTGCATCGTACAAGTACATAATATTTGAATAACAATTTCCTTTTAGATATAATAAAATGGGTAAATGTAAAGTGACGATCTACAAGGATTACCAAGATTACCGGTGCACAGTGTTACCATCTAATTGGAAGAGTCAAACACATACGCCAAGATAATAAACAAAATAAGATAGGAAATAAGATATATGTGTATACATTAATTAAAATAGTAGATAATTATCAAATAATCATAAATCAATATGATAAATCAAATATACATGCAATGCAATACAATATTATGTATAACAATCAAATGCATAATTAAAGATATACGATATAATTATAAGAATTCATTCAAAATCTTTATTATAAATGAGGTACAGGTAAGACGAATTCAAAGCACTTTTATACATGAGAGGAGAGGTTCCGCAGTGCGTGGAATGAATTCCCTTTTAAAGATTCGGGAAACTAACTAATCCACGATCTCATTAGGTCATTGATAGCTTCTACAATATTCCATCTCTTTAACATTCCCTTACACAACTCTCAATGATAAATGATACGATCAAGATCTTCTTATCAGTCTTGCGGTACTTCCACGACCATAATTGGAAGTAATCGCAATTTGATGAACATTGACTAGTTATCATACGTTTAAAGATCCACCTAATTATATGTTATGCGAAAAAGACAATTAAGGGAAATTAGGCTATATAATAAAAAAAAATAAGAAAACGATAATAAGGATATGTAAATGTTAAGGCGCAGAAAATTTTTGAAGTTAACAAAATCAATATTCATAGGGCCAATATCGGCTTAAACAATTCGGAAAGAGTTGGAAATTTCGTCCATTGGTGTCAATGGATCTCAAATTCATTGATTCCATTGGACCAATGAACAAGTAGTTTAAATAATTTATATAATGTATATTATAACTATATATACTATTCCTCCGGAAATAAGCACCCCTTTTTTGCTATAATGGTGCTTATTTTCGGGTATAATCTCAACTAATAATTTGAATAATTTGATATTTAGTTACTTATTTCTATTATATAAGAGGTGCTTATTTTCGGGTATATATGAATTGTAGGGGGTGCTTATTTTCGGATGAATACGGTATTAATTTAACTATTCACTAGTGAGTAAAAGTACAAAGAGGGAGTATAAACTCCAGAACTTTGTCGCACTACTTACAAAACTTAACATGCCTCTTTCAGCATAAACTTTAAATGCGGGTTACACGAAGTCGATTCATTAAAGCGACTTAGTGTTTCAATATATATAAAGCTATATGAGGCTGTATTAGATTGTAAAAGTTACATGAACATAAAATACAATAGTTACCATATTACACAACGATGTTGATATGTTACAACAATTGTAAATATATATATGTTACGACATGCCGTAATTTAAAACGAAAAGGTTACAGTTATAACTTGTTTAAATTATTTCTTGATTTGGATTAACATATGGTAATAGTTTCAGTTATCTCTATTACAAAGTATCGGACTTGAAGTCCGATTGCCATAAATATAAATAAAAAAAGAAAAAATCTTTATAAAAAGTCCGTGCATTTATGTAAAAACTAAGAAATAGAATCCTTGACATTAATTATGGCTGTCACGGTCATTAACGAAACAATCGTGCCTATAAATATTATAGCTATTCACAATTATGGTGTAGCTGTTAATTACAGCAAATATATGTGTCTTAAATATGGAGAATCATACAAGTTTAGTTGCAAACGGTATATTAAAAATTGATCGTTATTTTATTTTCACATATGATAATATCTTACTAGTTAATTTATTGGATACATAGTACGCCAACAAGATTTTTTATCTGGCAGTATAGTGGCCCTGATTCAGAAATCTCCGATGAAAAACTTCAAATGTTGTGTTTAGCACGCAATTTTATCAGTGCTATTAGCATGGGATTAAGTGAGGTCAAACACATGGTTGCAGAACAAGTTCTTGATGTAGCAACTATAGCGATTCAAAATGCTATTGTGCATAAATTAATTGATCACGCAATTATGGAAATAGAGAGTTATGCATTTACAACAATTGCTAACAGTTTTACAGACAAAATTTTCCTAGATAGGCGAACTGGCCACGGACAGATGGAAACTATGTGGGTAATTGATTCGGCATCTAGGACTATTCATGTGCAAGGCGGGCCAATATTTTATTTGAGTCAGCATTATAAAGAGTTAGTTGATGGTAAATTTGATTTGAAACTATACTAATTAATATGATATTTAAGTTACAAAAGTTAATACAGTCAGACTCTCTATAGTCACCTTTCTATATCATATGAAATTCCTTTATAAGATATGTCTAGTTTAAAACAGACTATGACAAACATATTTCCGACTATGTCAATTTTATAAATCATCTATTATTTGTACGATTTTTATTATTTGTTTTGTTTTATTTTTTTTCTGGGAAATATAAGAAATATTAAGCTTAATTATCTATTATTTTTTTAAATTGATTTTTCTTCATTTTCACCTTGATACTATTACATAACCGCGACTCTTAGTGTTTTGACAAAATGTGAAAGTTTTATGATCTTAGCGTAGCATTTGTAGCAAAGTATTTCTATTGTAAAATATATAATTTTGTAATAACTATCTCTAAATCGCGACCAAAATTTCACCTATACGTGATCAGAATCCAACCCTATTTCAAGACCAGGTGTAATGTTATATGATCAGGAAAATTTAAAATCTCTCATTTCTTAAAAAATAGCATATCAAATCACTTTCTGTATATTAATAAAAAGTTTTCTTGGTTTTCTTGGGTGATTTTACTGTATAAATACTTAAACTCAAACCCTAATATAAGTACTCACTCTAACCCTAATCTAATATAAAAAAAAACTTGCTGAATTTTGTTGAACCGACTGTAACCATCCCTATCTGAAAGCTGTTTAACCGATTGCAGTTGTAGATTTGCATTCCTGATATGAATTTTTTTTGACCAGTGATGTCTATAAAAACTATTAGTTTTATTAGTTTTATCAGTTTTCTTGTGATCTACGCATCACAAGTCATGATAGTAGTTACGTGATTTAATATGTCCCGGAACTCATATGACCAGCATTTGAAATTAATTTTCTCAGAGTTCTCATGAGAACACTATTATAAATTTATGCACAGTATAAATTTTTACTGTTCACTATTTATACAAATCATATGTTTAACACAAAATTTATGCCGAAAAAATTATATCATTTTAATCTTTAGTATTACTATATTACATTTTCACAATTTTTCGTTTTGCATAACTCGCGACCCAATTTTCCAAATAATTTTTTTTAAAGTTCCAATTGTTCTAATTATTTCATTTTTGGTTTTAATTTTTCCCATAAATTTATCCGATGTTACATGATGGTTGCCTTAATTTCCGGAATTACTCGATAGGTCCGATAAAAAAAAATAATAATAACTTTCTGATTCTCATATTATGTAAAACGAAAAATTAGCTTTGCGTGGACTTAGATGTGAAGATCAAATAATAAAATCCGCCCCGCCGACTGGAATTTTGGAACACCAGGTTATACAAAACAAAAATTAACGTACCAGCGAAAATACTTGAAAGTATTATATCAATTACAGGTGGTTTTATAATTGGCCGAATGATTATCGCTTCGGTAAGTTTTTTATTCGGCAGTGATAAACTTTTGATTTGGGCGTGATTAATATATATATTAATATAGCGATAGTACTCTGAACTACAATGTCAACACATTTAAAATTGAAAGTTTTCGTTTGTAAAAATAAAATTGCAATGGATTTTTATTTAAGCTTTAAATAAAGATTTCTCGATTACAATCTATTTAGACTCGATGAAAATTATTATTTAAATCCAATAAGGTTGCAGAATTAAAATAAAAAAAATTGAGAAAGTATTTGTTAAAAATTAAAAAGATTGGCCGCAGCTCTCTTTTCTATATAGATGATTAAGCTCTGAATGAAGATTATCTGATACTCACTCTGCCAAATTTAACGAATTTTTTATTTTAATTCTATGAAATCGAGAATTAAATAAAAAAATTTTTGATCAAATTTGGTCAGGTAAGCATCAAGTAATCTTCATTCAAAGTTTAAGCATATATATAGAAGATGAGCTCGGCCAAAATATTTTTTAACTTATAATGAATATTTCTCAATATCTACCTGTTCAAAAATTCGATGAAAACTTTTTTTATTTTAATTCTACAAATATGCAGAATCAAAATTAAAAGAATTCATTTGAATTTGGATATATGGCCATCGAGAATTTTCTTTTAAAGTTTGAAAAATTTTCGATTTTGTTTTCCAATATTCGAAGGGTTTTTTAAACTTTTACTGAAGATTTCTATGAACCCAAATTCAATAAACTTTTTTTATCTTAATTCTACAAATATACTTAATTAAAATAAAAAAAAATTGAAAATCCTGTCTACAAAGTGACAGGGCGATCATTATTGATTTACTTAATTGTTAACTAGCCTTTTATGGTTGTTCATTGATGTGTTAATTGTTTCGTAATGTATTAGTCATTCCTAGCTACGTATTCGTAATTCAACTGCTATGATGTAAATTGTTGGTAAGGGATAACAGAACATATTGCAGTAGGGTCGGAATGTTTTTGATCAGTGTATAGTAGTTAAGAGCCTTTGTGCAGTAGTAAGGTAAATTACTTTTCACTTCGCTATTACTTGCCTATGAATGCTGGCTCTATCGCCCACCCTTTCTCTCCTACAAGAGTTAATCAACAATTGCATAGAACAGCATTGGCCAATTAACCGGGTAGCGGTTCAAGGCTTCGTGTCTGCAAGGACTTGTGGATAGTGCGGCTGCAGTAGTGGTGCAAGGACCGTTTTTGTTATATGGGCTCCGCGGCTGCATTAGCAACAGTGTTGGAAATCTGTTGAGATTTATGTTCTCATGGAATTTATATATCCCTATTTTTTTAAATATCTTATTTCGAAAAATATCGGTCGTTTATTCAAATTTTTGTCCCAACCCTTCTCGTTTTTTATGTTCATTTAATTTCTTTTCGAATGATTTCGGAACTTCGTTCGATCTCTAATTCTATTTTCATCTGACATTATATTATTATATTTATATTTTTTGAGTATTATGTTCTCAAATTTTTTTTTCATAGAGAGCATTTACAGAATATCAAATGTTCTCAAATCTAAAGGTATGTTCTCATGAGAACATAAGATTTCAAACACTGATTAGCAGTGCAAGGACCCTTTTGTAGTTCTGGCTCTGCGGTTGCAAAGGCAGTGCAAGGACCGATGTTTTTCGTTCTGCGGCTGCAGTGGCAGTGCAAGGACCACCAGGGCATAAGGATACCCACGGTGCACCGGCAAAAGAAGATTAGAGTAGGTTAGTAGCAAACTTGGGTTTCACAAATTCATAATACTCTACTGAGCTAACGTTTTCTGTGTTAATTGTTGCAGATCATAATGAAATCAGATCAATTTAAATATATAAGCTCTACCAAAATCTACTTACTAATTTAACTATAAAAAAAACCTAACAGAAAAAGGCAAAAAAAAATTAAATTTTCATTATGATCTGCCACATAAGTGGAACAATTGCGTACTATCGCTATACCATTGTAAACCAAATGCAGTTTTTTGACGTTTCACACCATTTGTGGAACATATAGATATAAATCACTGTACGTACGTACGTACGTTTGAACGTACTGTATTAAACTTTTTATTAGTTTTTCAACATGATAGCGTTACCAAATGAATGCTACTATTCAATATTTAATACACTCCGACATCATCATAAAAGCCTGTTTTCATGTTCGCTTGTAAACGTCAATGGTGTAGAATTGCTATACCAATTTTGTGGAGCGAACCGGAACATCATTTTAAAAATTCAATACTTATAAGAATATTTCTTTCATCCTTAAATTCAGAAGAACAATCTCTATTAATTCCTTTTAAAATTACCCTTCCAAGTCATCCAAAACCACTATTTGAATATACAAGCTATATCACATCCATTAGCAATGATTTTTATCGTGGAATTTATAAATGGCTTTATAATGAAAGATACGAAAAAAGACGTGAGATTGAAAATGGTATTATATGTTCTTTGATCGCAATGTTTCTACGAACTAGTAAAAATCTTAAACATTTATGTCTTAATGAACTTATTTGCAACCAAATAATATTTGAAAATCTTTATAAGAATACTACTATTACCTCAATTAATTTATGTTATATCGATTATGATTTTAAGTCTAAGGCAATTGATGCGTTAGTAACTATCCTTTATATGAACCATACTTTGACTTCCTTAAATCTTGAACCTAATAATCTTGGATCTGAAGAGGTGAAATCATTATTAAAGACTCTTTATAAAAACGATGTTATAAGTTCTTTAAATCTCGGTTATAATCGGATTGGTGTTGAAGAGGGGAAGGAGCTAGCAAAGTTTCTTTGTAAGAACAATACCCTAAAATACTTGAATCTTTATTTTAATAATCTTGGATCAGAAGGAGGAAAAGCATTGGCTAATGCACTTTGCAAGAACTCCACGCTGACTTCTTTGAATCTTAAATATAATCAGCTTGGATCAATGGGGGGAATGGCAATAGCCGATGCACTTAGCAAAAACGCCACATTAACTTCTCTGGATCTTAGTCATAATAATCTTGGATCAGAAGGGAGAAAAGAATTAGTTGACGTACTTTGTAAGAACCCACGCTTACTTCTTTGAATCTTTGTAGTAATAATTTTGAATCAGAGGATGGAAAAGCATTAGCATATGCACTTTGCATAAACACTACGTTGAAAGATTTGCACCTCGGTCGTAATAAATTTGGATCAGAAAGAGGAAAAGCATTAGCTGATGCACTTTGTAAAAACATTACACTGACTTCTTTGAACCTTACTGGAACTGATCTTGAATCAGAAGGAGGAAAAGCATTAGCATTTGCACTTTGCACGAACACTTCACTGACTTCTTTGAATCTTGAATATAATAATCTTGGATCGGAAGTAGGATTAGCATTAGCAGATGCACTTTGTTATAACACCTCATTGGCTTCTTTAAATCTTCGACGTGATTACCTTGGATTGAAGGGAGGGAACGCAATAGTAGATGCACTTTGTAAAAATACCACATTAAAAAATTTGGACCTTCGAGATAATAATCTTAGTGGATACATATTATTAGAGACACTCTGCAAGAAGACCGCCCTAAAAAAATTTATATCTACGAGACAC